ATTTGCCAAGTAATTAGTAAAGTTAAGAACACTCGTTAACAGGAGAAAAATCACATTAAACACATTTTAAACATTCAAAACATATATAACTGTCAAATTTATATTTAAAAACTCTCTAACAAACGTATAAATGCATTTAAAGAAAACAAGTCAGTGCATGTAGTCTTTAAAGAGTAGGTCACTCAGAATGCTTAAAATATGCCTTACATAACATATGGGTTATATTTCTCATAATCATTTCTGGTACTGAGAAATAGAGTTAGCTTGGAAATGTAAAATTATTTTTCAAAAATATTACATAAAAAGTATAAAATTATTTTCCTAAGATCTCAGAGAAAATATATATATGTCAATAATATTTGATATGTAAGTGTGCACAATTAATTTAGTAGAAATATATGTAAAGAAACTCTAAACAGAATTTCATGAGTAAAATTTAACATAGTATTCAAGTTCTGTCTGAAAGGGGATTCATAATTTAATAAATGTCATACTCATGCAAGCATTATAACAAAAATCAAATAGAAAACCCTTTTAGAAGGACACTGCTGACATAGTCAACACTGATAAAAGAGAAAAGAATACAAATTCTAATAAGTAGTAATGACATTTCAGTCTCAAGTCTCTTAAGAGGTTAAGATAAAGTATATTTTAAAATGTGAGTTTGGATAAAATTTTAAAAGCCCTTTAATCATATCCTGCAAAAGCTATCACTAAGATTAATTTTTCAATCTGCTTCTTATTAGATCTAAACAACAAAAAATGAAAAGAGGTGTTTTTAAAAATTGAATTAAAAATAAGCACTTGATTTTTAACTTATTTTTCAATTGCATCTGACTCTGAATTTAGAATTATTATCCACAGATGTTGCAAGCACCACCCAGACAGTTCACGTGAGCCCCTAAATTTCCATAAAACAACAGTCATTGCAAATATACCTTTTGTCTATTATATAGAAAATCACTGCCATATATTTTGATACAATTTAAATGACATGATCTATGTTCACACATGGCTATTTTAGTTACCATGTGTATCCTAAATACCGTATTTCCCCATGTATAAGATGCACCCTTTTTCGAAAAATTTGGGATCTAAAAACTGGGTGGGTCTTATACAGTGGTTGTAGATTTCAAATGCCATAGATTTCCCGCTGAGGACGAGGCAATATATGAAGACAGTGATTCGTCATCAGACACAGGTGAGGACAAGCTAATGGTTGGGAGTTTTGACAGTGATGAGGAGTTGTATGAATTTTATGATGAATAAAACTTGAGTTCAATAACTTTATGTAATACATTTTTTTTCAAAATTTTGGGCCCCGAAATTAAGGTGCGTCTTATACATGGGAGCATCTTACACATGGGGGGAAATACAGCAGTTACCTGGGTAAAAGGAAGATAACATGAGAGCTGATAGAGGTAGTATGATATAAAAAGAACAAGGCTGAAGAGAAAGATTTTATTCCCATCTCCACTTCACCATGACCACTGGGTTAACAGGATAAAGTTATACTTTCTAAAGTTTTATTTCCTTTCTTTTCAAAGATATGAAACATACATACACATAACTACGTAAATCACCCTTCAAAATGCCTGACAAAAGATTTTGCAGGTAACATCTAGGTAGTAGCATAATATAATGGCTTAAAAGTTTGACTACTTGTGTCAAATCCCAACTCTGCCACTTATTTAGCTGCATGACCATGGGCCAATTATTTAATCCCTCTAAGCCTCAATTTTATTTTAAAAATAAACTGGAGCTATTACTGATTTTTATGAGATATAAAGCACTTAGTAGAATAGTTGGTCAACAATAAACACACAAGAAATGTTTGCTATTATTATATTATCTTAATTAAGCATTAATGTATTAGCTATCCTCTGATATATGCAGAATTGACAAAAAATAATTCCCAACATTCTCATGGGGCCAATGTGCAATTAATCATGTTCTTCCAACTTCTTTTTTGCATATTTTATATGACATCTGATTAAACCACTTCTTAAACAAAAGTTAATGTAATGCAACATAGTATGGGGAAGAAGTATGACTTTAAAAAAAGAATGAAACAATCATCCAGAAGATATTGAAAAATGACTTACTATTGGGAGAAGAAAAATAAATATTTTTAAACTGTACAAGTATATAGTACATGCATAAATGCAAGAAAAATGGACTCTAAAATAGAAGAAAATTATAAATTAGGAACAGGCAAATATTAAAAGGCAAGTGGAGTTTTGGGGGTTTATTTAGGTTTTTTTGTTTGTTTGTTTTTTTAAATAGAGATGGTTGAAAGAAGAAAGAATTTCATGGACACATAATGGAAAACTTAAAATCTGTACAGGATGTAGGGAAAAGTAGAAATTGAAGTGAAAAATGAAGCAGTAATGTGAAGGATTCTTGAGAGCTTTCAGAATGCAGGGTTAAAAATAAAAAGAAAAGGACAGTGATGAAAACAATAAATGGGCATTTTCTAAAAACATACAGCTAACATCCTACTTAATGATGACAGACTGCTTTCTCTCTAAAACTGGGAACAAGGCAGGATGTTTCCAATTTACCACTCCTAGTCAATATAATATTAGAAGTCCTAGCTGGTGCAATAAAGCAAGAAAAACAAATAAAAGATGAAAAGACTTGAAAGAAATAAAACTGTCCCTATTCATGGACAACATGACTGTCTACAAAGAAAATAATAATAACAAGGAATCCACAAAAAAATGCTATAACTGATTAATGGGTTTACCAAAGTCATAGAATACAAGATCAATATACCAAAATCAATTGTGTTTCTATATACTAGCAATAAACAATTAGAAACCAACATTTTAAAAATAGTACTATTTACAACAACTCCAAAACAAACTAAATACTTAGGTATAAATCTAACAAAATATGCACAGGATCTGTAAGAATGAAAAACTCTGACTTAAAAATCAAAGAGGACATAAATAAATGGAAAGGTATACTCAATACTGTTAAGAAGTTATTTCTCTACAAAGTGATCTATAAATTAAACATGATCTCAATTAAAATCCCAGCAAGATTTTTTATAGATATAGAAAAGCTGGTTTTCAAACTTATATGAATAGGCAAAAAAATAAATAAATAAATAATAATAATAGCAATAATAACCCAGAATAACAAAAACAATGATGAGCAAGAAAAAAGCAGACTCATACTACCTGATTTTCAGATTTAACTACAAAGCTTACACAGCTATGGTAATTAAGGCAGTGTGATATTGGCATAAAGATAGACAAATAGATCAATGGAACCAAATAGCGAGTCCAAAAAAAGACCCACACAAGTATATCAAATGATTTTGACAAAGGGGCAAAGACAATTCAGTGATGTTATCAACGAATGATGTTATCAACAAATTATGCTGGGACAAATGAGCATCCATATGCAGAATAAAAGAGCTTTGACCTGCATGTTATGCTTTATACAAAATTACCTCAAAATGACTCTTAGACCTACTGTAAAACATAAACCTGTAAAACACTTAGAAAGAAACAAAAGAGAAAATCTTTATGATATTATACTAGGCTACAAATTCTTAGATCCAAAACCAAAGCAGGATCAATAAAAGAAAAAAAAACAACTGATAAATCTAACTTCATCAAAATTAAAAGCTTTTGCTCTGCAAAACACTGTTAAGAAAATGAAAAGAAAAGCAACAGACTAGGAGAAAACATGTACAAATCACATATCTGACAAAGGAGTTATACCTAGATTATATAAAGAACTTATAAAACTCAACAGATAGAAAACAAACACCATCCACACATTGTTAACAACCCCCACCTCCCCAAAAAAATCCCATGTATTTGTATATGCTGGTATTTATACCTGTAATTGTCCCTTATATTACTATAATGGGACTTTTATCTGTCATATTGTACAAATAAAGTTAGGCAAAAGATATGTACAGACACTTCTCCAAAGAAGATATATGAATGGCAAGTAAGCACATAAAAAGATCATCAATATAATTTGTTATTAGGGAAACGCAAATAAAAAACAAGATACCACTACAAACCTAATAGAATGGCTTGAATGAAACAACTGACAATACCAATTTCTAACAAGGATTTGGATCTACTGGAAATCACATACAATGCTGGTGAAATGTAAAATAATACCAATCCTTCACAAATTCTTCAGAAAATAGAAAAGGAGTGGGGGAACACTTTACAGCTCATTTTAGAAGGCCAGTGTTACCCTGGTACCACCAAAGACATCACAAGAAAACTACAGACCTATATCCCTCATCAATATAGATGGAAAAATGTTTACCAAATTATTAGCAAATCAAATATGGAAACACATAAAAAGGATTATACACTACGACCAACTTAGATTTAACCAAGGAATACAAAGTTGGTGGAAAATCTGAAAATCAATTACGTAATACAACACATTAACAGAAAAGGGGGAAAAATCCATATGGTTATCTTAACCTCCATTAAGAGTGACTAAACGTAACTCTTTAAGGTAACTAAAGAGCTTTGCAACATAGTTGTTACTTTACATTTTTCCCAACGTGTTTATTTTGTTCACTATTTATTACACAACAAATATTGGCTACCTATTGTATGCAAGGCATTCTGCTAGGCACTAATACAGACATACAAAAACAAGTAATTATGTGATTCAGTAAAATTACAGTAAGTCTTATACATAGATACCCAGTTAAAAAAAATAACCAACTCTGTTCAAGGGTTGGTGGGAAGAGGAAGACTGTCTCATTCCTATCCTTAAAACTGTATTTCACAAGTATTACAGAGGCATATTTTAAACTGTAAATTAAAATGAAATCGCACCATGGTAGCAAATATGTATGGAAATAATTTTATAGGAATGTTGTATTATATACTTTGTTTTGCCTGACACTATCTCTTTAGAGAATATTATACCTAAAAAACTCTTCAGGTATAATAATCTATGCCATACATTACTGAAAAACTGCATTGGTATAATATATCCTATACCTTGTGGGGAGCGAGACTCCTCTGCCTGAATTTTTCAACCGTTTCTTGACCCATAGAAGACCACGCGCTGACAAATGCTTCTGCTTTGTCTTGTCTAAGATGAATATTCTCTAACTGCTGCTGCAAAGCTGCTGGCTTCACGTTATGATATACTGCCTATTAAAGAGAAAAAAAAATTACATAGAGACCTTGATCTATAATCAAACACAAAATTATTTTTAAATGATTTAAATCAAAAGAATATTTTATATTTCTATTGCAGCAGAAATTTTTTATTATTTTACAAATAATATACCATTCCAAGGATTAAAACATTTAAGATTAAATGGCCTAAATTATTTGGGCCAAACTTTTTCAGTTTGGCCTGTGGTTTAAGTAATCTTAAATCCACTTAACAGAAAAACTTCTTTGCTCTAGCCACATAAATGGCACCCTAATTAAAATTTCATTTCCTTATATTGGGTTGTTGGAAAAGTCATGACATATTTTTTCTGTTTTTCATTGCAAAAATGCATCATGACTTTTCCGACAGCCCAATAGCACTTAATTATTTCAAAGAAGTATACAACAGTTTTATTTCTCAACCAACAAAATTTTTCCAAGAAGCACTTTCTGAAAACTACCTACTATCTACCAACTTCCTAGGTAATATATAACAAAAATTTGTAAAAATTTTAACAGTGATATCTGTTTTATTTTTTACATTATTCTGGAACAATATTCCCATAAACTCTATGCTGTTCTGTCCTATTCGATTATCCTTTTCTTCTATGAAGGCCCACTGAGGTTAGTCATCTTTATGACCTATAATCCGTACTAGAAGCCTGGCAGCTTATCATTTTATTAATTATAGTATCTGTTCACTAGAATGATCATGAAGTTACAGTGCTATTTAAAATTGTATTTCACAAGTATTCAATCAACAGGAACTTATTGAGCATCTATTTTATTTTTTATTTTATTTTTTTTAAGCTGAGCCATCCTGCCATCTGTTGGCAGCTCAGTGGCTGCTCAGCTCGGGCTGGACTCGAACCGCTGTTGCTCAGAGCTCAAACTCTTGAGCGAGCTCTTAACCAACTGAGCCTCTCGGCCGGCCCTTTGAGCATCTATTTTACACCCAGCAAAGTGCTACATTTATAAAAGATGCACATACACAAAAAGTTCCTGGCCTCTGGTGAAGAAGACATAACTGACACCTATGAAATAAATAAAGACTAACAATGTGCTCTACTGTGATGAGCCAAGGATAAAAGGAATCCAAATAAGAGGAAGACTGCAAGTACAGGTAGGGGTCAAGGCTGCAGTGGGAGAAGATGTGACTTAAGATTCGGGAACTTATACAATAAACTGAATTGTGATGAAAACAAGGGATGCAGAAGGGCAGCTCAGTAGAAAGAAACAATATGACAAAAAGTCCTTTGACAACTACTGCTTTTCTAAATGTTTTATTTATTGTTTTGGTCAAATAAATCCCCCAAAATCATTTATTAAAATTTTTAAATAAAGTGTTCATTTTTCCAAATTATTATGCCAAGTAACAATGAATTAAAATCTTTTATAACTGTCTCAAGTGTATAAAGTCTTGATTCATGTTGCCAAATACTTTACTCACACTATTCAACATTAAGATTGTTTCATAGAATGCAATGCCATGGGGGAAAAAATGTACATTCAAATATTTTTTTTACTGCATTAAAATATTTGATTAAAATACATTCATAGCTTCTATGTGAATACTTTTTAAAAAATAAAATGTTATAGGTACCGTATTTGCCAGCATATAAGACGATTTTTTGGCCCTGAAAAATATGCCTCCAAGTGGGGGGTCGTCTTATATGCCAGGTACACTTCAGATAGACTGCCCATAGTGCTTGCCCCGTGCCATAGTGGCCTCCCGATGCCCGCCCACTTCATTCCACAT